TGTAGTCTACAATTATCAAACAGAATATCTTCAAGCTTAACGTATTAATGCATTAATAACATTTTTCTGTTTTATATTGACTCTTCCGAGATAACTGGGCAACTATTGATTATTGATGATATCACAAATTTTACTTGTCAGACAGATGCTCGCGCGAAATTACTGGGACGAGGTTGAAGGTGACAATGAGGATCAATTAGAATACAAGTGTAAGAATGATGTTTAAATCTAATTTTAGTATGTTCCTAATCGATTTTTGATTTCTAGAAATTCTAGCAAAGTGTCGCTAGAGAGATCACTTCATAACAATATCGTTTCAAAAGATAACTGTTGCCAAGCAGCAACAATCATGAATTCTCTATTGACTCATTTTTGCCCCTTAAAGAACGTACTTTCATCTCAAACTGAAGATTTTGATAATGTACGATGCTGTTATGAGTTTTTGCATGATGTTGTCAATTTTTTAGTAGACTTAAGTATAAAGTAATAAACGAGTTATGAATATATATTCATTATTGCTTTCCTCATGTTACTATATATCCTTTGCTTCACATGTCGACATAATTCAAAAAAATACAATTAAAAGTTCCACAATCATCACCCACTTACCAGCTTAACTGCTATACGTCATTTATTTTTTGTTCTTCCAAAAGTCCAAAGGAAGCAAATGAATACATTGAAAGCATGAAATACAATAACATTAGGGAAGCATTGGACTAAAATGGAATCAATGGAAAGATCAAATATAGTTGACGTAACAGGTTTCAGTAAAATGTTAAAAGTATTTAAATTTTCACATTTCATAACATATTTCAACTTACTAAAAGATGTCGAGCGGGAACTGTCATTATCTGATAAGGTATTACCAGTCTTCGATATAAACCTGAATGAGTGAGATTTAGATAATCTTTATCTATAGTTCAATAAACTAAAAGTTCGAATGAAGACTTGAGATGGATATCTATTGGTTATATATAAACTATGATAATTCTCTGCTTATCCTCTATCAATAATGTGTATCTTATATTTTTATCTCATTGTGTACGAACTCAATCGTTATATTATATCAGATATAGTGACTTCTACACGCAATCCCAAATTTGGGTTCTATTTGTATATTCAAGTTTGTTTAATATACATTATTATATGGTCCACATGCATGATATTATGTTCAATTTCGTACTTTTTCTTCTATTATAACATGTAAAGTTCACTTATTGGTAATGATTATAGTTCCTGTATCAGAATTAAGACAATATATAAATATATTGAAGAGAATGGTTAGTTCAAAGATGAAGAGCGTAGATTGCAACATAACAAAATCTACTTTGTATACATATTATCATCTTGCCTCAGTTGCTTTTATGTGTATTATAATATCATGAATTTTACTGTAGTAGTTCGTGTACCATCTTTGTTTTTTATGCTTTGCTCTGGAAATGTATTTGTTATATAATTATTACATTAATATATCTTATTAGATGCTCAAGTTCATATTGTTTTAGTTCATTGGACGGGCTAAGTTAAAAAAGCCCAAGATAATATATAAAATTTGTAAGACAATGTAGCATGAAAAAATAAGAATACATGAGTAGGAATAACTTGTATAAAGGAAATTCTACACACTAACAACATATAAATTAGACAGCGTGTGAAGTTTTGAACATTACTGTGAAAAAAAATGGGATGCTTTCAGTACGACCAAATCCATTGCTTTACTAGTACATATCACAAACCTTTACTCTAACGATAACATACACAAAAAAATGATTGACAGAGTTTCCAATGATGGGACTCAAATGTGAAGTTCACAATCGCTCTTAGATTAACGGAGCAGGTTTTAGAATTGCTGAAATCTCTTTGAACCTCAAGGATAGAGCGAATCAATGACGTCATGGTCTAACTATCGGATTTGGATTTTTTCTGCATTCCACATTCTTTAATCTTTTAAACGCGCTTAATTCTTTTTCAACCGTTACCATTGTGCTGTCAGTCATGTTCAATGTTCAGTTCTTTTTTTTCGCCAGTTTCTTCGTACTTTTGATATTATGGTTGCATTCATTTCTTTACTAAAGAGCGTTGAAACATGAGACCACAGTTTTTTCAGCATTGAAGCGACGAGTCCTGTTATTTTTCGTGCATGCTCGATCATTTTCGTTCAATAATGCTCGATTTCTCTGTTGATTGCAACGTTTTGTCAGTCAAAATAAAATGCTGCTATAATCATTCATGCCGCTGCCTATCGGAACATTGTGAGAGTGACGGTAAGTGTGGATTTGATGGTCGAGTAGTTTGATGTGTTTTATGATCATAAAACAATAAAGCAATGTTCAATAAAGAGAGAATGAGTGATCAATATTTCATTGACAAGAAAGAATTTCATTGTGACAAAGTCGATGGAAGAAGAATATACTTTGAAGCTAAATATGCGATAGTACGACGAATATCATATGACGATTTTAGATAGAAGAATCGTTAGTGCTGATAGAATTACACTTTATTTGGCCTCTTCGTATCGTTTACATCAAACATAGGCCATTAGGAGAGATAGGGAAAAGGAGAGAGAACGAAAGAAGGAGTGAAGAGTCAAGAAGAGTGAGATGGTTCATGATACATAGTTACAATCGAAAGAAGAATAAAGCATGTGCTATGAAAAGATGACAAGAGAAGGTTGAATATTACGAACGAACCATCAATTCAACCAAGTAATGAGAGTAGATAATGGTACACAATAGACTCAACCGGGAACGTCACATATCATTTACCCTAATTCCTTTTATGTTCTAGTAATAGGACAAAGTATTCATCGTTATTGATTACTATTGTTAACACAATCACTGCATAAATCTTTTTCTCAGAGCTTGAGTTAGAATTCGGATTGATATTATTCGTATTTAATAATAATGTAGACGTCACTATGAGCAACTTCCTCGTCGCCTGTAGCTCTTTTCACCTTTTTTCTTTTCTTTTTCCTTTCTTCTTTTTTTTATTGCCGAGATATACTTTCGTCTCAACATTTTTTTGTAATACTCATCAAAAAAATTTCACCATACATATATTTATCTTACCTCCAATTTGACGAGTGCTCACGAACTTCACCAATATTTTTTTCTGCATGCATACCCATCTATATTGGTATATATTTTGCACTCTCTACATAAATTTATTGGATGCATATACTGCACCATTCACATGCCATATCGATGCTTTTACTTACACTTTTATTGCATGAGTCATCGGTATGAATGCAAAAAAATATTAGTAAATCAAAAGTTTGCACTGTATTTGTCGTTTCCATAAATCAAGTTATAGTTTGTATCGAGTTCATTTGAACAATAGTGGTCTAATTAATCCAAATCAGTATTTAAATGTTAACGAAAAATATTTCACTCCTATAGTCCTATTGTAGAGAATGAACTTGAATGATTCTATAGCATTTTCGTTGTAATTATTCTCAAGGTCTCTATAAGTATTCGAAACGTTAGAATATCATTTGTTTAAACAAGTACTTGATTGTATACATTTGAGAACATTACTGACTATGACTAGGTAAAAAGAGGCTAGGAGAGTTCATGCCAATAAGTCCTCTGAAAGGAATCTATGTGAAAGATTGAAACAATTTTAATTCAGGAAACCTTTCTCGGAGCGTGATGCATATTGAACAGTAATTTTATTCGAACTATATTAATTACTAACTAATACATTATTTCTCTGTTGTGAGACTTCCTTAAATAATAATTTAGCTCATAGAATAGATGTTTTCAATTTCAGAAAAATAAATATCATCTATCGTTTTATTTATCACGACCCAATACTGAAATAAATTCAGTCAGGTTTGCAGGTGATCAATCAAACATCTACTCATAGCACATTGACAACATACGATGAATGATCTTCCACTACAGTCAAACCACGGTCTCGAACAACAACATCCATCTTCTCCAAATTCATATGACTATAGACGTACTACGACTGAACAATCGTTAACGTCGAGCAATAAATCGAAAGACATTGAATCACCACCAAGAGATTTTAGGTAAATTAATGTTGAATAGACATTTTTCTTTTAGCATTTGACTCAAGAAAGTAGTGAACTCAAAGAAAGAGAATCGTGTTTAGCGAGGACATTGTGTTTTTTTGGAACTTCAATTCCAAAAGAATAAGCAGTTTTTTCTAGCACAAATAAAAAACTCGTTTTACCTTGCTTGCTATGCCGACAATTTGACTTTTCACCATCTTGCTCTCTCTCACATCCCTTCACAGATAATTATCTTCTTTGTGTATACGAGAAAATCTTTTCTGAACTGATGTATTTGTTTCGCAGTACTTCGCGATCTGCTCTGCATGTAACAACATCGGATTCTTCCTTCACATATGGTGTCGATTGGAGCGATCATGCTCATTTTGCATCTCACTGTTGGTTACCCTATTCGTCGCGTAATTCTATTGCTTCGCCTTCAACTATTTATCTATCGTTCACAAACAACTGCCCACGCACCACTACTTCACCTCTCGTGCAATGTGCGACATGTGCTCTGATCTTGCATGGTGCAGACCTTCCCGACTTGTCAAGGACAACAACAAATGTTGATCAGATAATTCCACCATGTCGGCCTTCATTTTTCGATAGCAGTATGACAGAGAATATTAGTATGCGCGATCGACATTACTGGTCTTATGTTCCAATGCTCACGAAACGGTGCGTGTATTGTAACCGAAAATCATTATCGCACACCTTGAACAATCATGCTAATCGAATTTCGATCATATCAGCTGTCGACAGCAGGACAACAAATCATGTAGCGAGTACTCCAGATCAGAATATGAGCAACTCATTGAACAATCTTGTATGTTTGTGGTGCTGGCGAAGCTATCATCGACAATGCTGGGAAAGCATGTTCGATGATGCTAAACAAAACAAATGTGACTATGGCATATTAGGGTGAGTTTGACTAGAAAGAATTAGCATGATTTCTCGCTGTTTTTATTTACACAGAAATATGGTTGTTCGACCTCAATGGTTACGACGTGTAGCTGATTCTCCTGCAGGTTTTCGTGCTGAATTAACTGACAATTTAGATTCAAATAATGTATCACCTATGCCTGTAATTTTCTTCATAAACAAACTTGCGGGTGGTCAAAAAGGTGAAGAAATCTATCGTAAGCTTGTTCGTCTAGTCAATCCTCGTCAGGTTTTTTTACTTGAAAATGATACAACCATCATACAAGCTTTAAACATCTATTCGACTCTGGTCAATATTCATATATGTATTTGTGGAGGTGATGGAACAGTTGCTTGGATACTCAGTCATCTTATCGATACCTTTCCATCGTTCAAAAACCCGCCAGTTAGCATTTGTCCGTTAGGTACAGGTAATGATTTATCACGTGTATTAGGTTGGGGTTATGAATGCGATTCAAAACGATTGCTAAGAACACTTACTCAGATCCCTCATGCACAACCCTTGGTGCTCGATTGTTGGCAGATCAAATTCGAAACATTGGAAATGACACCTACAGAATCCAATCACGAACATCTAGTTGCTCGTCTACGCCGTCGTTTTTTTTTCGATGATCCAAAATTTGTTCGTAATACAAATCGATTAAAGTATGAAAATCATGTTAAGCCGATCAATATGTACTTTTTCAGTCATATTAGCTTTGGACTGGATGCAGCTATTGCACTCGATTTCCACGTTCGTCGAACACGTAATCCATCGAAATTTACGTCTCGATTCAGAAATAAGATTTTCTATTTGAATGAAAGTCGCAAATATTTCAAAGAGTTCTTTTTTTCTCCAACGTGGGATTTAAGTTTATACATGAGATTGATTTGTGATGGACAAGATGTGACTGATTTGCTACAATCTTGTCATGTACTTCTTTTGCTGAATAGTCCAGGATATGCATCAGGTACAAAGCCTTGGGGTGGAACATTAACGGATAGAAACAATACATCATCCACTGTTCAGAGAGATGACAATTCACTTAATGAAACTTCGACAAGTTCTAATATAATGGTCGATTCCTCCACAAATACTCATCAATTCGATAGACAGGACTATGGCGATCGAAAGATTGAAGTAGTTGGCTTAAGCACGAAACAGATGACTTTAATTCATCTGGGCTTTAAAGGTCATCGCATCGCACAATGTAGTCAAGTACGTCTGGAACTCAGCCGGCCGATATCGATGCAAATGGATGGTGAACCTTTCTATCTAGTTGAACCAACTATTGTCAATATTATGCATACCGATCAAGTATCTGTATTGAGAAATGAGAATAGATGACTATGATTCGACGTTTTTCATTGAATACTCACAAGTCTGTAATTATAAACTAGAAGCCGAGATGTTTCTACTATTCACCAAGGAATACATTGGTTATTTGTTATCACATTTATAGACTCTTGTACAAATGATTAATTGAATGCTTTCACTTATCAAGAAAATAAATCTATAAAATGAATTTTGATTCGAATCAATCATTTGAAATGAACCTCGATTCTCCTCTGAAATCGAAAACTTTTAACTTTTCTTTTTTGATTTTTCTATAGAATATTCAGAGTGGGCGCAGACTATTTGATCATTACGTAGACAACGTTCGATGACAAATTTAGGATTTGTCACATTATACCACGTCACATAACTCTTATGCTATACTTCTTCGAATTTTCTGCAGCTAAAACTGTGAATGTGTTGTGTGGATGAAAAGAAGATTCATATTCACATCGTATAATAATTTTCGAATACCTCTGCACAAAAACAAGCTTTTGATCTTCGATTTTCACCAATAGAAAGTGGGACGTACAATGCGTCCATCTATATAAGACTCATTAGGCTCGAAAAGTTAAATATTGCTTTTTTTTTGATATACCAATAAATGAAACATTGTTAACATGTTTCTGTGATTTTACTTTGTGCAACCATAAGAAAACAAATTTGATTTTTTCTCTATCTTGACATTTCGACAGGAAAAACATTGAATACAATACGTCATAGTCGATGAATAAGTGAGCAAACACTGTTGAAAAAATAATCAGCATTTATTCACTTTTCTGCCTTTAATTTTCCTTATGGATGCAAAAAAGACTTCTTTTGTATTTATCTAATCGACAGGAAGCTGTAAAATAAGATGGCCATTATGCCTAACACAATTTGCTTTGTTCATTGGTATGTCATGAAGAAAATTATACAGTGAAATGTGTAGACAATAGATGACTGAAAAAAGGTATCGTACAATTTTCAAAAGTTAATAAGCGACATGGTGCTATTGTATCATGGATAGCAATTTAACAGATAAATAGATTGATATAGAATTTTCCATGAAAGTACTAAGATGTACGAGACTTTTTGTCAAAGACTACAAGATATGCGTCATATTGATGGAGAAAATCAAAGATTCCCATCGTATGAATATCGATGATAAAAAAAGGTGCAGTTGAACAATATTTTGCTTTTTAGATTACGATTAGCAATGCTTGCAAACTATGTCAATTTTGTGTCAAGCATCAGCATTATTTTATCGAACAATTTGGTTCCGTCAAGCACGAGATCGACTGGGATTCTTTCATTCGCTGTCATCTATATGTTTCAATATGCTAAACGATGAATTCTATTGTTCATTTTCAAGAATAGTGAATCTTCTTTGTTCACCTGCATGATAAACATTAAATATTAGCAAAGATTACTATAAATTGATGCAGACTGAAATACATTCTCGATGTCAATATCAACAAAGTTTCCTAGGGTGATATTCATTCAAGAATGACTATAGTTAGTACCAACTTATGTCGATCACATGTCCTATTATTGCTGATCAAGAAATAATTTCATTTTTATGTTGCCATGATGCATCAACATCGACGATTGTTAAAGCGAGGCTAGAAGAATGTCATATCCCGAAAAAAATAGTTTCCTATAAGAGTTGGCTGAAGATCTAAGCATCACTCAAGTTCGAGATGTCAATCGATGAAAATAGTCCAATTACTTCTCAATGTCATTTCCATGATAATACTATACGAATCGAACATTCTATTAGAATTGTAATAAACAATGTTTCTTTAAAACCAAATTTGATCCGAGTGATTGAAATAGCGATGATTCACACGTAGATTTCATTCTATCTACGATGACTCCTATTATTTTGATTGAAATTTGAGTTTTCATCAAATAACAAAATGAAGAATGATATGATCAGATTCGATGGAATCGAGTTAGGAATTAATCTCTACAATGATTTCCATTTTCTTCATTACTAAGTTTGAATTACTTGGGCATATAAATTAGCTGTCGGCATTTTTCACAACTGTTTTTACAATGACACGAGAAAATATTTATCAGCACCAATATTTATATCTGTGTTTTCTCTAGTGTGAAAGATTCGAAGTGAAACCTCAAATCCTTTTCATGAATTTTTGACAAGGAGATTATACCGTAAATGTAAGCTCTCTCTTCAACCACACCTTGCGATAGACTTTTGATCAGTTGGCTCGATCTCTTTCGTCAATATACGGTGATGGTATTTATTTGATGACAGCATGAGATATTAATAGAAATATTGTTGCTAGTGAAAATGTTTATGAACCCGAAGCGTATCCATTAATTAATTCATACTGGAAATATTTTAATGATAATAATATTATTTTTTTAGGAGATCAGTTTAATAATCCTATCGTTACATGAGAACAAAATACTTCGATTAATCCGTGAGTTGCTAGTGGAAAGCGGAGAATCCATCATGACTTCTTATTGCATGTACTGCGAGATATTGTTGTTCATAAAAATGGAAATATTTATGTAGCCGATGATAGCAATTATCATGTTCCAAAATGGCTAAACAATAATTGAAAACATTCAGGTTGTTGGCATAGGATAAGATGACGAAGGATCGATCTATGCATTTGAGTGAACAGAGCATTTCGTGAATACAAGGTTAGAGTTGAATGTTGAGGAAGATGTAAACATGCATTAAGCTGGAGATTTCCTCTTCGCTCTCACATACCTTAGGCACATCTACATCACCACTATTTTCTAATCGATACCTTAGTTTTGTCGAAAAATCATTTTTGAAACAAAAATGAATCATTCGACATTTAATAATTTGAAATTTTGTGAGTTCGTTACTTAATTTCCATAGTTTATATTGGGAGCAATAATCTTATATAATCCACTTCTCATATTCCAATAAAAATCATGTCCCGAGAGAGGATTTCTACATAAACGACATAGAAGGTTTTCCGCTTCAACAAAAAAGCAAAATGCAACTCATTTTATAAAAAACTTTATTAAAAAGTTTTTTACATCATTGGTTAGAAGGTTATTGGATTTTTCATAGCACGTCGAATACCTTCAATTTCTTTAAGAATAATATCACATTGAGGTCGATTAGCGAATATCTTCGGTATAAGACCACCAGGATCGGCATATTGTAAATATGTATAACGAAAACCATCTTCGTTATCTGTCTGCTCAATGAGATGTGCACCTTTGAAAATAGTTCGTACAAATTTGCCACTCGGATCTCTTGCTTCTGGTAGATCGACCGATCGATAACTAACCATAAATCCATTGGGCAGAGTTCGTCGTACTTTGATATAGCATGTGTCACGAGGAGCGATCAAAATTGATGGAGATGCATATCTGACAAATTGAAATATTCATTTTATTGGATGACTCAGAAGAAATAAGCTAAATTTTACTATCAATTTTTCTTCATCTAGTATCAATCATTTGTCTTAAGTTTATTTATCGAAATATACACTATGAAATTCTCCGTAAGATTATACAAGCACATTTAAGATTGAATCTTAATATAGAAAACTGAAAGAATAACATCATGGAGCTTAAAAATGTTCAACATTCTTGTTGAATTTCATTTGATATCACTTTCAAGTATAAAAAAAGCTAACTAGTCATTTTGTAAGGCTTGAAAAA